AAATGCAATTGCTGCAATGCAGGAGAAAATGACAGCCAGTGGCAAAAAAATAAATAAATGTTGTGATCTATTTAAATAGTTAATGAGATTGTGTTAATCTGTCATCTACCAGGCATGAATTATCTCTTTGTTTATAGTCACAGGGATAAATGTTTCTCATTTGTAAAACTGGTGGTAGCAGACTCCTTTCCTAGAGTGAATTTCACCTATTGTAATTCAGTTAAAGTTAAAACCTTCAGGAGGATGATCTTAGGTGTTGTTTTTTTATTCTGCTAATGGGGGTCAGAAAATGGAGAGTTAAATCTGACAGTAAAGGATTACTCCTTGAGACTTGGCTTTTTAAAAAGACAATACATTGTCCTTGCAAATGGGGGAACGGAGGGAAGTTGCTGTGTCAAATATTTGACTTTTTTATGTTTATTTCTCTATATGCTCTTGTCTCATAAGAGGTCTTTTTAATGTACATATGAACTCATCCTCCTCAACACTATTCTTTGTAGTAAAACTAAAAATCAAAGATGCTTTATATATGCTGAGATACTCTCTGCCTGGGGATTAAAATTGAGTGTTTTCCATTATTGTATGATATAGGGAAAGTCTGCAAATATTAAAATCCGAGGCAGGGTCAATTTAACAAACGTATACATAATGTGTTTTCTGTCAGTGTATATTAAAGGCTCATAATGACAGTGTTTGATAAGGTATTTACCAAAGGGGAAGAAAACCTTACAGAATCTTTGAAAACTCTTTCATGAGGGGCTAGATGATTTAGAGGAGGAGAACAGGATACAGACCTAGGGCACTAGTTCAAATCTGTCCCAGGTTGGTAGTAACTGAAGGGCTTTACCAATCTGAAGGCTGTTCAGTGGCATATTCCTGCTTCTAGTACACAAGAATCCACTGCAAATTAGCACTAAGTTGCAGTAGGAGACAAGCACTGAGTGGGGGTGAGCTTGTCGCTCACAGTACAAGACAAGGACTGAGTGGGGATGGAGTAAAAACTAGCTTGTCAGTCGCAGAAATGGCTCCTCTAGAGACCTGAGCCAAAGCCCTTTGAAGTCCATGGAATGGGAATCTTTCCATTGATTTCAGTAGGCTATGAATCAGGCCCCAGGTGAAGACTCAAGCACGTTGATGTTGTGGTGCATGAGCTGTCTTAACCAGGAGAGTTCAGGCCTGTCTTTCAGATGCACTAAATTCTCTAAATTTAAAGACTAAGGGGCAGATCCTCCTTTTGCACCAGTGTAAATCAGAAGTAGCTCTTCTGCAGTCAGTGGAGTTATATTAGTAGTGTAAGACAAAGATGAATCAGGAGGACACGTGTGATATGTCTGCAGAATGCGATCCATGGAACTGTGCATAGCTGGGCGGGCTCTTGCAAAGCCTCAGAGCTCCGTCCAGAACACTAATGCACATCTGAAAACTGATCACACCAGCTGGCAGCTTTGTCTCCTCACACTCAGGCTTCCCTGAAGTTATGTATCGGAGCAGGGATCAAAGTGGTATGTGGGAGTCATTTTTCATTCCATAGTCTCCCATCAGAGACAACATTAGGCTGTGGTGAGACCTTGTTGTACTTTATCATCCTGCCTGCTGTTTGGTTCCTTCTTCAGTAAAATTAAATATCTTTTTGGTGTTGTCTTATTTGGTTTATTGTTAAAAACAAAAAATGCAGAATCAAATTTGAGACTGTTTGAAGCTCTTGTGAGAGATGACTGGATAATTTGTCCATGTATTCTGATGAAATTCTTCACTCTGATCTAGTTTTCATGGTAGCTAGTCATGGAAGAATATTGGTTTGGATACTAGGGGTAATAGGACCCATATTTTTGGCAGTTAGCCATCAAAACCATGTACAAACTACACTGGAGGCACTTGAAGTACGTCTAGAAGCTGGTATGGTACATGCAGAAGTCATTTTATGAGGTTATTTTGAAATAGATTAGGCAAAAGAGAAAAGTAATAATATCAATTTTATTACTGGAAAGTTGGAACTAAGCCAAGTCATAAATGAATCAATTAGGTCTAATTATCTAGATATTAAAAACCTCATATTGATTGGATTTTTTTTCTTTGTAAATGACCTAGAAGAGTGAAATAAAACTGGTCAGATTGTGGCTGGAATCCATAATCACTGTGCAACTGACTGTAATTGGAAAAGTAAAATAAAAACATTGGAGAAAGTGATTAATGTTAATTTTGGCACATGCTGTTTATTCATGAGGAAAAGCAGGAGAAACGGTCTTTCATGTACAAAATGGAGTTAGCCTGGGAATATCTTAGGAGTGTATTGGTTGAAATCTACCATAAACGTGGTTTTGACTGGTTCTGCAGGATTAAGATGGGTAAACAAATTACTAGTCTGCCAGGTGTCTGTGTTACTATTCAGTTATAATTGTGTATAAGGTAGTAACCTTGGGATCATATTAATGTTTTCTTTATAGTAATGTCTTTTGGAAGACTCCATCACACTCAGATGCAGAGTCCACACTTGTTTAATGCAGCAATAAGTTTCTTACCAGTTAGTTGTGATTTCATAAAAATATTTTCATAATTTTAAATGGGCAACACAGCACAGTTTAATCTCATTTTCTCTAGTGTCTTTATTTGAAAGCTCTATAATTTAAGCACTCCATTTCAATGTTTTAAAACATACATACCAGCAGCATCTGTCCCATTTTTGGGCAGCTCTTCTAAAAATTAAAACAGAAATAAATTAGGTTAAAATTCAAACCAATCTCACAGGAAGAGAGGCATTTAAGGGATAAAGAATGGAGAATTAAGACAAGCTATGGTTTCAGATGAACATTTTATTTTAAATGAAGACGTGGACAGACATAGGAAGGCTGCAGAGAAGAAGTCTCTTGCACCAACCATGATGAGATTGTGTGGAGGGGCAGAGAAGAGATCAATACTAGATAAGTGGAATGACTGACACAGTGAGGGATAAAAGCCAATAAATGTGGCTGGGGCAAGTCCATGGAGGGTTTTAATACTATGGGCCAAATGCTGAAGTCCTTCCTCAGGCGAAACTGTAAGAGTTAAAAGGTGAGCAAGGGGCTTGGAATGTGGACCAAGAAGAGCAATTTGAATTGGCTCCTGAATGAATGGATAGTCAGCAGAGCTGGCTTGGAATGGGTTTAAGTTGATTGCACTTCTTTGTACTTTTGAGCAGGTGGCAGTGGAATTCTGAGCATGCTGGAGTCCGACACAGAGTAAGGAACTGCTGGAGCTGGAAACATAGAGGGGGAAATGAGGCAGGGCATACCTGGGCAATGGTGCTGAAGAGGGCAGCTGTGGAAATGGAAAACAATCAGGCGGCATCTCCCTCTCCTCACCCACTTCTGCCAATAGGGCTAATGAGATGAGGGCGGTTCTTGACTAGTTATCTGCCCTTCCCCCACACACTTGGTCTAGGGTGTGCATTCAGTGAGTCTCCACCCTCAGCAGCTTCTGAAACTGGACATTATTGAGCAGCTCTTTGCTCTCCCACACAACTTAGTCTGTCTTATGCCAGGGGCTGGGGGAATTTCCCCAGTAGTTCAGCTCTCCAGCGTTGTCTACCTCCTTCCCTTCTGGCTCTTGTGACCTTGCAATTCATGCACCTTTTTTCTGCTCTCTTGAGCACAGGCAAGGGTGAGAGATCAGAGGTTTGGGCACCCTGAGGGACTGCCTGCTGCAGAGAGGTTCGGGAGGGGCCGGCCCGGGGCAGTAGGCTGAAACCAGAGTTTTTCCAACGTTGATCAGAATGAGAGTTGAGGTCAGGGCTCTTCAAGCCTTCAGCCCCATTAGAGACTTGGTGCATTGGGGGCAAGGCTGCACTCTCATAGTTCTAGCATGGTTCCAGCCCTGGGAGCAGCGGAAGGTGGATTTCCAGCCTGCACTGGGCAGGTCCTCCCTGCCTCTCTTTCCAGGGACAAACCCAGATCTTAAAGAAAGTTCTCCCTTTGAGGTTACAAACCCACTTCAAAAAACACGAGGGACCCACAGTCTCCTCCTGTAAGCTGGGAAATCATCCTCCCATTCTGGCCCTGACCTTCTTTTCCTGTCTGGTATATACACTAGTGGGCTTGGTTGCCTGATGAGCTCCAGTTGCCTTGACCTCGTTAGAATCCAGCCACCAGGCATAGAAGAAGTAGGGGCTTCCCATCTGACTTGGCTTGGGTGTCCTCAGTCCCAACATCCACAGTCCTCTTGAGATCCTTGGAGTCCTATACGCCATCACTCAGAATCAGGTGACGATGAGGGGGGAGGGAGTGTTGAAGGACGATGATCATGTTCTAGACAATGACAAGTCTGAGTCGAAGAGACAGACGGAGTTATATGTTCCTGCAAGAAGCACGACTGTGTTTTAGTCATTTAGCTGAAGGGTTATTTTAATATGATCGACCACACACTGAAATAATGGGGTTTGCGTTAAAGATATTTAGTAGCAGTTTTGAATCTTTGGCTGCTTTAAGCAAAGAAATGCCAAACAAGCCACCACTCTATGTAGCTGTATATACCCCTGGCTCTTTTCACCAGGAGATGAAATATCACACAGTATATAAATTACAGACTATATCTCATAGTAATCAATGTATTTTGGCTAAAGAGTTCATATACCATCTATTACAGATCTCAGGCTAACAGCTAATTAAAGCAGCATCTCATTGTGATGTGTCTAGGAAGCAGGAATTGTTACCACTAGAAGAGAAAATATTGATTTAAATATTATTGAAAATGTTTTCTGTACACCATCTGGCTACAGAATACTTCAAGTAAGAGGCAAGGTACTGCAACAACAGTAACTAACGTCAACTGTACTCCCGGAAGGTCCTGACTTTTGTTGTACCAAAAAGTTTTTTAAAAAATCACATTGTTCAGCAGTGGCCATTCTGGCTAACTTTGGAGTTTCTTACAGCTAGATGGAAGACCTTACACATGGATGGGGTGTGGTGTATTTGGGCTTTGAAATAAACACTGAGACTTTGTCTAAATGTCCTTTTAATTTTTTTTAGGTGCACAAAGTCTTATTGACTCGTTGGATGATGTTTAACTGACAGCCTGGACCACATTCCACATTATGGAGAAAGCAGATGGTATGGAGGTTGTGTTTTTACTTAAACACTGTTGAATGGAACTCTTTTATCATTTAAAAAATATTAAACCAAGGTATTTTGTTTATACAGTAAATAATTCATGCTCTTCTAACTGTATGGAGACATGTTTTCCAACAATGAAAATATGCAAGGTTTGTGCATCGTTCAAGACACACACGATGCACTCTTGTTTTGCTCTGATTTGTGATTATTGTAGCAGAGAATAAGTATGATAGTTCTATTGTTTACAGTGGAGTTTCAAGCACTGTGTATGGTGCTTTCAGATAAGATCATAAAGACAAAGGTCTTGTGTGTTCTGTATGGACATTAATGATCCCCTTCTACCTTTCAAAAGAGAAGTAGGGCTTTGCCTTGGTGTCACTTTACACAAAATTTTCCTTCCTCATTCCACTATTTCCAGTGTGCTGGCTCCCTCCCCAGAGGTGGCTGCATTTCAGTGGTGCTGTTTGCAGGGCTGGCGCGACCCATTAGGCGACCTAGGCGGTCGCCTAGGGCACTACAATTTGGGGGACGGCGACCGCGGCGGTATTTCGGTGGTGGGACCTTCCGCCGCCTCTGTGGGGGGCAGCATTTCGGGGTGGGACCTTCCGCCGCCTAGGGCGGCAGAAAAGCTGGAGGCACTCCTGGCTGTTTGTATAAAGGGCTTGGGAAACCTTTGAGATGAAAGGGTCTATATCTATGCCAAATTCTCATCAGCCCCTGCAAGACTGCTTCACAAGGGCAGTGGCAAAGGGAAGAATGCTCAAACATTTTCAGTCTTGGGTAACTACAGTTAGGCACCGATACCCATATTTAAATCAATGGCCTGATTTTCAGAGATTCTTAGCAGTCCTAACTCACCACAACTTCATGGGTTCACATTTGAAAATCAGGACACTTATTTTGTTTCCTGAATTTGGATTTAGGTGCTTAACTTTAACCGCACTAGTTTGAAAATTTGGGCCTATGAATTTTGCGGGCTGTGGATTTTATTATTAGTTCTATCCATTCTATCAACTTGCCAAGCACCCTGCCTTTTAGAGGTATTCTTTGTTTTCAAAGGACAACTAGGGTGACAATGTTTGTCCATAGGGCCAACCAATGTCTCTTTGCCTGACTTGCAAAAAGCCCCAAATGTAATTGTCATGGATAGTTTCTATCGTCTGGTTTGTAGCTGGATTTCTTATACACTAGAATTAGGATTTATTATACATCAGCAGCTTTTTAATACTTAGACAAATTTGTAGCTCAGCCTACCAAACCTGCTATTTACATAATTGCCAATTAAAATAATGATTTAGCAAATTCCAGTGCAACAATTACATGAGTCAGCTCCAGAAAACAAGATTATACATTTGCACGTGTTGCTCTGTGGCTATATCTCTAATCAGACTCGACATTAGCATTACAAATGACAAACTACAAACCATTCCTTCTCCCCTTTCCTGGTAGATGCAGGCTAACTGCATAATGATTTAGGAAGGCAGCCGGCTGGCATTTCAGCATTTTGTGCATACTGATGAGATCCCTGATTCTCAGCTGTGCTGCAGCTGCCTTTTGGCTCCTTCAGGCTATTGGTAGTTGCTGAAAATTAGAACAGCCTTCAGACTGCTCTAACTTACCCCAGAGGACTGGATCAATGCACAGCCAGCCCTCCCTGTCCACACACTCCATGCTGTCTCCTCAGCCACAGCCAAGGATTGGGTCTGAGGAGCGGAAGATGAATGGGAGAGGTATAAAGCTGAGACAAAATAAATCATTGCTGACCTCTTTTTTTCTGCTGCAAACTTGGTTAGATTTTTTTTTAATTAATTTATTTTTTAAATTTTAATGTCTCATTTTATTTCAGCTGGCAATCAGCCATCAAAACCCACTGAGGATAAAGATCAACCCAGAAGTCTCCCTTATTCTGTTGAAACACCATATGGCTTCCATTTAGACCTGGACTTTCTGAAATACGTGGATGACATTGAAAAAGGAAATACCATTAAAAGGGTTCACATTCACAGGAAGGCCAAACAGCCAAAGTTCAGCACACTGCCTCGGAATTTCAGCCTGCCTGAGAATAGATCCCGTGCATACGCTTCCTCCCCCAATAAGAGCTGGACTGCAACCTGTTCATTTGCACAGAGGAAGGCATCACTAGGGGCAGAAGAAACCACCTGTCTTATCACATCGTATGACTCACCACAATCTTTAACTGCAGAGGAGCCAAGTTACAGAAAAAAGGCCCTTTTAGCAGAAACAATCAGACAAGCAGAGGTCATCCACCATGAAGAAGAGCCTGGCAGCTGTAGAGGGAGGCCACAGCTGTTAAGGGCTTCCAGCATGCCAGCCAAACTTCTACCAAGTAAAAGTTCAGAAGAGGAAAGTCAGTGCTCCAAGCCTTCTCAGCCCTCTGCACTGTCTCAGCCTTGTGATGGAAAGAGCTTCACAGAAATTCCCTTTAGCCCTGCAAAGGAGTTACTGGATTCACACTATTCTGATCGTGTCACATTACATTTCCCCAAAGAGCCAAGGAATGTGCAAGAGCAAATCAAAGTGGTGTTCCAGAAAAATGAGCAGCCTGAGGGACAACAGGTGAAAGCCATCCCCGAGCTGGATCCCCAACCCTTCGAGTTTCCGAGGGAGAGAATGCAAATCCAATCTCCACATCAAAGCCAGCATTTCATAGCTCAAGAGCTGCTCCTGGTTACAGAGAGTGGAGGAGAGGAATGCTACGCACCAGAGACAAATAAATGTCCTGAATTAGTCAAGGATGAATCAATCTCATCAAATGCCCCCAAGTTTATGCATGAAAATGAGAACCGTGAAGAAATAGAATTAAACATAAGTGAGATCATGCCATGTGCACCAGAGAAGACTGAAGTTAGAAGCGTTTGGGCTAGAGCAAATGAGGAAAACGTAGATCTTGAACCTTTGCTTTGTGACACAGTAGAACCCAGCAGGATCACAGCACTGAAACAACAGATCACTGTTCTGGAGGAGCAACTAAATAGCAAAATAGAGGAACTTGAGCAGATCAAAGTAGTGCTGAAGCAGCAGGATAGTGAGATCAAAGCAAAGGAGAGAAGCATTAAAATACTGGCAAGCTCCAAAGCTCAACTGGAAGAGAAACTTTGTCAGGAAAACACCAAAGAAACTGAACCGTCCAAGCAGGATGGAAATGTCCTGCAATACCATGATGCTGCAGTGAACACTGAACTTATGCAAGCAAACACGTTTAAGGAGGCCTATGACAAGGGTGTCAATGTTAATATTCCAGTCGCTACAGAATCTGTAGGATGTGGTACCTATGGAGTGGACAATGTGAACTTGCAGGCTAAGGAGTTAAGAAGAATGCCTGTTCATACGGATCAGGGGTTGGCAGATGTTGACACTCGTGTCAGAGAGGAAGGGGCTGCATCTCTTGCCAAACAGAAAGGAACTGGAATTGACACTGAGCCTCCTGTCTTTACACCACGCTTCACTGAGCTGAAGATAGATGAACAGATCAATGATGACTGTCAACATCAAAGAAACAGCTATGACAGACAGTCTTGTGCTGCTAGCTCTCTGATTGGAGAAAGCTGTTCAAGAACAGGAAGAGCTGACTCGAATGGAAATAAACCAGGTGGAAATAAACCAGTTTTTGCCGGGGATGTAAAGCAAGATCTGATTGAGGAGGAAAAGCATACAGAACAACAAGATTCCTCTGCAGATGACCCCATAGGCCAATATGTTAAAAAAATCCAGGAGCTTTTGCAAGAGCAGTGGATGTGCTTGGAGCATGGCTATCCAGAGTTAGCAAGCGCTATTAAACACCCTGCATCGAAGCTTAGTTCCATCCAGAATCAGATAGTTAATTCCTTAAACTTGCTGTTATCTGCCTATTCTACCCAAGCACCATCAGATAAGGAGAACTCGAACACGCAGTATCAACAATTGGGTAAATAACATCGGCACAGGTCTAAACGCATCCGGGCCGATTCTCCTCTCACTTGCACCAGCATCAATTAGCAGTAACTCCGTTGAAGTCAATGGTTTTACATCAATGTAGAGCCAGTGTCAGTGAGAACAGAAACAGGCTCTTTGTGTTTCCTTAAGTATAGATGAGAGAGGTAATCTTTTAGCATGGTGTAAAACTTGACGTTTTACTTGAAGTTTTACACACAATCTGAACTTTTCAAAGTTCCCTTATGCTATTGAGAGGGACTGGTCCGTCAGGTAGAGTTGCTCATCGCTTTTCTTAATTGGGTTTTATGATTCTTCACTTCATTAGTGATCACAGGGCCAGATCCTCATCTGGTGTAAATCAGCATTAACTTCAGTGGAGCTAAGCCAGTTCACACCAGGATGTGGACCATGGTATTTAAAAAGACCTGTGCCCTTTAAGATAAATAACTAATAAATATTCCATGTGAAATTAGATTTTATTCTTTTGTGGCCTGATCCTCATTTACATTGTCTCCTCTACACTGCCAGAGGGGGGTATTAGTGTAATTAAATCTAAGGCCTCTAGTTTCAAGCAATATAACATGAAAGGATGTGAATTCAGGTGCAGTAATTCATTTCTATAGTGTTATATAGAAGGCTGACACTAAGAGTGTAACCAAGGACCCTATGCATGAATTTCAATGACAACATCAATATCCAAAGTGCAAAAAGACCTAATTAAGGAGTTGTAGTAGAACATTATTATACCAGTAAAGCCTACTTATATTAGGACAAGATGCAGATACTTACCAGTCATTTATAGATGTGTGTCAGATCTCCATCCTTGTTTTAATGGTGGCAGCCCAGATTTAGACTATATACAGCTGCCTCTGCAGTTCTGTAAGGTATATAAGGTCCTTCATAAGGTAACATGTAACATAAACCCAAGATACCTAGATAAGTGTGACATAATTGTGCTTATGCTCTGTAGTTTGTTCCAGGCATACAATAAAGTTGAGACTAACAATTATGACAACATAGATACTTTCTTAATCTCTGATTTTGTATTTTGCTAGAAATCTCTCCAACCACAAGTCTTAAATCAATCATGAAAAAGAAAGGTTATGGTTTCCATGCAGGAGGTAATGGGACCAAAAAGAATCTTCAGTTTGTTGGGGTAAATGGTGGGTAAGCATCAGTTAAGAAGATAAAACTGCCTTTTCACATACAATATTATCCTCATCTGTCTCTCTCAGGAAATATGATTTCCCCCTCCCCACAAATCTTTAATTAAAAGGCCATTTGCAATGTCATCTCTTTTATCCCTTCTTCAATCTAATATCAATAACTTTGCAGTAAAACCAGATGGGAAAGACTGGGACGTCGGCACTTTACAGCAATAATGAATGGTACTGGATTGACATCCTTGAAGACTGAATTCCTTTGCACACAGGTCATTTAGGGCTTGATCCAAAACCTCAAAGTCATTGGGAATCTTTCCATTAACTTCAATGGACCTTGCATCAAGTCTGTACTGCACAGGCAGCCACACCCTGCCATCAAAAGTGCCTCAGTATTGGCCTAAAAGAAGTTCTATCTATGCCTATTCAGTCCTTGGTCTCTCTATAACGACAGCCAACAAAAGTGCCAGTCAGTGCTGTGATAGGAGTGGGGATTATGTGGACACTTGTTCACTAAGAACTGAACGGAGACCAATACATGTAATATATATTCATTATCATCAACTTGGAAACTCAGAGTCTGATCCAATTCCTGCTCAAGTAAATGGAAGTTCTTCAATTGATTGCAGTGGGAGATGGATGAGGGTCTACACTAGCAGATGAGTCAGGTACTGAAAGGAAGGATGGTCCAGTTGTTGAGGCATTCACCTGGGTCCTGGGGGATCCAGGTTTAATTCTCTGCACTGTCTTAGGTTTCCTTTGTGACCTTGGGCAAGTCACTTAGTCTCTCTCTGCCTCAGTTCTGCAACTGCAAAATGGGGATAGTACTCCCCTACCTCACAGGGATATTGTGAGGCTAACTACATTAAAAGAGTCTGAGGCATTCTGATACTACGTTGGCGGGGGGCCCGTAAGTATATAAGATAGATAGAAATTGCAATATGGAATTTTTCACAGTTACATCTAATCTAATTTGCACTGAGCAAAATCCATGACCATCATAAGAGTTAAGCATTCGTGAACTCAGCTGAATTTCTTGTGGACCAAAGTCCATACCGCTCAAGCTGGTATGAATTAACATCTTTGTTGAGAGTCTCAGCAGAGAGGCCAAGGATTGAATTGAGACAAAATGGCATTTTACCCTAGAAATGGTCTTTCTGGGCAAGGTCTGAGGCACATTGTTTGGGCAGCACGATGGAATCTTACCCCTTTGCCCCCTGTTCTGCTGATTAATTGACATCTGTTTCCAGTGTCGACACTCTGGGAGCTTTCAGGAGCACTTAAAAAGAAAGTATAAGTAAGCACTCCTTTCTAAGTGAATAAAATTAATGTAGGTTGCATTTGGGCTTGCTCTAGAAGAGATATAAATTTGCCTGCATGCAAATTGACACCTTACTGGGATCAATTAAAGATCAGTTATGGGGGAAAGTTGCTGCTTAAACAGACAATCATCAAAAGCCATGCTCTTAAAGATTTAAATCATGAAGTTATATATTTGATACATGAATGTGTACCGTTATGAATCCTTATCTAATAGCAGTGTTATCTCATGAGCCTTATAAGCAGAGGTGAAAGTAAGCCAGTACACCCCGGTACGGCGTACCGGCAAGAGCCGGTTTGCCGAACCAGGGCGGCCCGGCTTCCCCGGGGGCAATTTAAAGGGCCTGGGGCTCTCAGCAGGGGCAGGAGCCCCAGGCCCTTTAAATTGCCACCAGAGCCCCACTGCTGGAACCCTGGGGTAGGGCTGCGGGGCTCTGGGGGCTATTTAAAAAGTCCGGGGCTCCCGCTGCTTCTACTGCCCCAGCCCTTTAAATAGCCACCGGAGCCCCACCGCCACTCCGGCCATGGGGTAGGGCTCCTGGGGTAGGGCTCCGGCGGCTATTTAAAGGGCTGGGGCGGTAGAAGCAGGGGAGCTCTGGGCCCTTTAAATAGCCCTCGGACCCCAGGGGTTGGGGGGGGGGGGAGGCTCCAGCTGCCTCTGCCACCCTGGTCCTTTAAATAGACGCGGGAGCCCCGCCGGAGCCCCGGGCTGCTGCTGCTATCCCTGTGAAGGGGGGGGAGGGCACTTACCTTACAGGGTGGGCTGGGGCTGGCTCTGACTCCCTCAGCCACGCCTCTTCCTCCCTAGGCCCCACCCCTTCCAGGGGCCAGAGCTGGCCCCAGCGTACCGGTAAGTCACTGGACCTACTTTCACCCCTGCTTATAAGTGAAAAGCGGAATGAAACTACGAAGAGAAAGTGTTCTTTTCAGATATGTGCTGAAGTCTACCAACGGTTCTTAATATTGCTTCAGGTTTTTTGCTTCAAACAGCAGACATAATTGGATAATTTGTCCAAATGAACTGCAAATGGAATATACTATAATTAAAAGTGTCCCATACATTAATAATGTCATCGTGGGCCAAGTTTTCAAAAATAGCTTGTTAAGTTGCACCCACAAAATATGTATATGTGTACAAACCAAGGAGTTCTAATTCACGTCTTGCCCATGAATAGATGCCTATTTGTGTGTGAGTGATAGTTGAGTATTATAATTATTTAAAAAAATGGATCACCCAAGGAACAGTTACAAAATGCCAATAGAAGTGACTCAGTTGAAGAATTCTTCAGCTGATTTTTATTTATGCTGAAAGATTTATATTTTCCCCTCAATGGGCATGGACTTATGCATTATGAAATTGATCCTGGGTTTCTCTCCCTGTACTTATATGTGCTGTTGTTTACCCCAGAAGTCACTGCAGTTCAGTGACTGAGATTCCGATAGCCTTGCTCATGCTGACTAATACCTATTTCACAAGTAGTCATAAAAATCAACGGAACTACTTGTGGAGGAAGGTGGCACTCAATATAAGCAAAGATATCAGAATCTGAGCTTCAGTCTGTGAAACATTTTGGGATCCTTTGGAGTAAAAGGCACCATATACATGTAACATATTAACACCACTGCTCTTAAACTAGCCAGGGGGAATTCTCTATAGAGTGACATTCCCTATCCCTAATTTTAGCAGCAAATTGCTTCAATAGCAATCCCGTTGGCCTGGGAAGCAAGACGACTAGAAATTGAACCCAGAGTTCCTGTGTAGTAGATTTGAACCTCAAAGTTGGGGTCTGGATCTAGGGTTTTGGTTTGGTGCCAATCTTTTATATTGACATATTTTTACTGTGTCTAACATGCATGTCACTATGAGCCTCATCCAAGCCCATTGGAGTCATTGGGTGTCTTCAATGGGTATTGGCACAGGCCCTATAGTTGCTGAGGGGGAAGGAAAAGTGAATAATATCTGGTGTCCTCAATTAGTTACGAAACAACGTCAAGTGAAGACACTAGCTGTGAAGACAGCTCATCGGAAGGAAATTCTGACAGCGAGATGGAGAGGAAGTATGACACTTTAGAGCACAGACAGGTGAAAGCTGCCCGTGAAAACAAACATGCCTCATCTGGAGTCTCCCAGTGCACTAGACATGAAGACAATGAGCCACAGGAACTGGAAGAAATAACAATGGCTAGCATTCAACCCAAGACTGACAGGTAATCAGATAAACAGACTAATGCAACATATTAGTGATGTTGACTAATGAACAATAGCAAATTGTGATTTTTGGTTCCAAGTTTCAGTGGAAGACTGCAGCCACTTTGTTAGCAGCAAAGTTTGTCAGAGGGTGGTGATGGTCGGCAGGAGAGAGATCACTTGATCATTACCTTTAGGTTCACTCCCTCTGGGGCACCTGGCATTGGCCACTGTCGGTAGACAGGATACTGGGCTGGATGGACCTTTGGTCTGACCCAGTATGGCCATTCTTATGTTCTTATGACTGATTCTGAGTCATGCAGTACCTGTGTGGCTAGGTTATCATAATGATGCAGATACAGTAGGATAATATTGCTGGACCCATGGCTTTGTCTTAAGTTCTCATTTCATTAAACTTTTTAGAGAGATCTGTGCTTTTCATGGGGAAATAATTCAAACTAAAATTACTAAAACAGGGCTTTCAGTCCTTATATTTTTCTCTGCACAAAGCATGTTACAATAGCGCATTTGCCATATATGCCAATTTTCAAACCACATGCCTAGACATTAGAATATTCATATTGTGAAAATCAGTATATCAATGGGAATTTCTGTACCATACTCTGCTCTTTGTGTTTCATAAGGGGTTTGGGGCTAGAGCTATCCACGCATCATCACAACCTGTCATGTTGTACTGGTTTAGGGCCAGATGCAATGTCAATTGAAGTCAATGGAAAAACTCCCATTGACTTATGTGAGCACTTGATCCGGCTTTAAACAGATACATATTTTCTTCAGGTTAGTACAGAATCCAAAGTTTCTCATCTTCTAATTTTGTCCTAACAGACATTTAATTGTTACTATAGTGGATTTCCTGGAAGATCCAGGAATAAAATTGCTTTTGCATGAATTTTTGTGAAAGTGGTGATTTGTAAATATAAAAGACATTTGGTTGCCTATGTAACATGTACAATCTATGAACACTTATGCATATGCTTAACTTTATGCCCACAATCCTATCAAAGTTAATGGAACAATATGCATAACTGTTTGTTTGCAGCATTGGGGCCTAAAGGTACACCCTGCAAGTTATCTTCCCAGTTCAGAGTGCACTAGTTCTCTCTTACAATGGATTTATAAGAGTGTTTTCCTTTTTAGATGCAAACCCTCAGAAGATTTCCTTGATGGCTGCCTGTTATTGAGCAAACACCTTTCCGAAATAAGGACCTCCAATGACAAACATTTGGTACTGGTATTTTTCAGTTGAATTTAAAATGCAACCCCCCTGTCTGTGCTACATTTAACCATTTAGAGTTTAGACCATCCAGACAATGCTTTGCAGAATTATTGTAGCAAACCATGGGCAGCTTTATAAGGAGAGGTGGGTCAAGGTAACTTCTGTTGTCCAGTTTTGGTTTTGAAAGTGAAAACCAGCCCAAGATTTGGTTTTAGATTCATGACCTACAGAAAAAGGGAGAAAACTTTCCAAGCTTCCTCTATTCAATTGGGCCAGACTAAAACTGACATAAAAATTCCTTTCCCCCTTTAAATAATCTTTCCCTGCTTCTAGACTGCAAGGGGAATAAAATAACAAAAACTATGCAAAAACTCCATCCTGCATATTAAACACATGCTGGATCATGCAGCAAAGCAGTCTTCAACATTGCCAAAATACATATGGCAACTACATTTCTCCAACCTATGCCAGGGCATAGGCTGAAGCAGTGCAGGGCATAGAACCAGGAGTTGTAACAGGCTTCCAGCATTCCCCCCCAGTACACACACATTCTGCTGCATCAAGCAGATCTCAGTGCAAGAGAATCTGGTACTAACTTTAACAAGCAGAGCACCTGAGAAGGGGAAAAATTTGCCCAGCATCTCCTCCTCTTTCCGTAGCCAAGCAACTGAGGGTATGGCAAAGGCAGGGCCCTAGATCTCCAGGTGGGTGGGTGGGTGAGAAGACACACATATCCCTTGCAAAAATGTGACTACATAGTCTGTAACGAGAGCCTCAGAGAGACAGCAAATTGACTAATTGATTGTGGGCTGGTCAGGAGAAAGACAATGATGCTTCATTAGCTTTTGCTTATTAGTAATTTTTTAAGAGTAGAACAGAGAAAAGCTCTACAGGAGCGTGCCTAATGGGAACACTGAGTGCTGAATCCTTTTTGCATACAAAGGCTGAATCACTTAGAGGAGAAACATGTAGCGCTAAAGAATTTCTTCACCTACTCTAGCTGCTGTTTGATTGTTCTACACACACATAGGTGAGGCCAGTATTTTGCCCCATCCTATGTTCTGCACAGGTCAGTAAGGCTTCCCCTTGCTGCCCTATGCCAACGCATTGCAGGTAGCCTCCACAGAGCCCATCCCACACCGGTGGGCAGGCAGCGGTTGGGGAATGTGCAGAACCTTGGGACAGCCCCCTCCCCCCAATCGTGATGGACCGCACAGCTGCACCAGATGGAGGAGACACACACAGTGCTAGGTATAGGACTTCTGCACAGTACATTCCACCCTGGAGACGGTGGGATCCAGGAGTCAGATTGTGGCTGAATCACAATTTACTTCCCAGGCAGCCTGGGCTAGTTGAGTTATGCACTTCCCCCTACGTGAGGCAAATAGAGAAGCTACAGTTTAGACCTGGATTTATAGAGTACTTGGGATAAAATTTGTATTATTATTATTATTATTATTATTTTATTGGAGGGAGGTAAAGAGAAGTTGGTAAAATGTTTTAATAAAGCTGTTAGATTGATGACATCATATAAAAATAACACAGTTGTTCTAGTTGGCCCATAAAACAGGATATAGGAGATGAGCTCAGATTTATTTGTATCCACTAATGTATCAATAAATATGAATGCTGCTTGAATTAAAGTCTAGTGATAACTTGCCCATGAGAAAATTTTTCCATGTATTCCTATATAGAACTAGTCACTTTAGTTCCCTTAGGGTGGCCATTTTTCAATTAAAAACAAACTAACAAAAGCCAGTGAGAAACTACCTCTGTTTTTAAAGATTTTTTTGTATTGTCTTTGCTAAAACAAACCACCCTTTTGCACTGCCAATAAGTGTGAAGTTTTCTTTGCCAGCCACAAAGTGAAAACCCCAGCCAGGGACCAACCCTAGGGTAGAGCAATAGCGAAGGGAACTGGCATCATTACTTTTTGAAAAAGTAAGGTCCTGAAAGTGACTGTGAAATGTTGGTGTTTTAGAGACACATCTTAAACACGGTCTGCCAAGAGTGGTTCCGAGTCTCTACTAGGAAATCCTCCAGCCCTGAGGTTGTTGCAGCTTATCTCAAAGAATTCAAAGCAATTCATCCCCAGCTACTGAAGATGATCATAAACTTGGCGGATGGAAATGGGAATACAGCTCTTCATTACAGTGTTTCCCATTCCAACTTTCTGATTGTGAAGCTTCTACTAGATACAGGTGGGAACTAATGCTTTGTTGTTGTTTTTGTCTGGGGTGGGAGGGAAAAGTTGGTACTTGCCAATTATTTCATATAATCACATTTAATGTCTTTTTCAGATTTAAAAATCTGGTCACCATTTAAGGGCCCAATCCTGGAAAATTTACTACCCAGCATGTGGCTGATCGAGCAACATTGGAGTCAGGGGTAGTCTTTCCATTGGCTTCAGTAGGAGTTGGATTGGGCCCCTAGATTTTTAAAGATATTTAGATGCCTGAAGATGCAGATAGACATCTAGTGGGATTTCAACGGAATTAAGTGCCTAGGTGCTTTTGAAAATCCCACTGGGGGGGGGGGGGATCTTCAGGCACCTAAATACATTTAAATATTTGGCCCTTAGTGCTTACTTCAGTGGGACTAATCACAGGAGTAAGCATTGTGCTCCGCAGTTCATGTTTGCAAGATCAGACCCTTTGATTGTAATAGTGATCTCTAGCTCAGCAGCAAGAACCGCATTCTAATCTATTGAACTTTTAGCTCCTACTGTAAAGAATTAAACTTCCAGCTGAGATTTTATCAGAGAAAATGCAGGCACTTTCCAGACAGAATAATGAAGCTTTTTGCCTTTCTTGGTTGGCAAGACAATCTGTTAAATGTTAGGAAAATGGCATATTATCATACACATCTATAAACCCATTGTTTAACAGACTTCCAAGCAACCCCAGAATATGGAGAGAAGTTTGTTCTGCTCTTTTAGAAAATACCCCAGGGCGACTAAGCTCAAAGGGGAATATTTAAATGTTTAGGCACAGTAAATAAGAAGGCTGAGAGTATAACAGCACACACTGGAACAGTAGGATTGATGCATTTCTAAATAGAATTAGCCTATTTGCTGTGTATAAAATGAACGGAGACTTGTCAAGTGCATAAAAGTGTCAGAATTAGAATAGTCCAAATTGCATGCTGCATCTCTATTTAGATCAGCTACTGAAACATATTTACTATGAATGTTCATTCACATTTTGAAACAAATTTATCTTGAATGTGTTCACACCCCAGGCTGCCAAAGTAGGGTGACTAGTTAGCAAGTGTGAAAAATTGGGACAGCTAGTGAGGGTGATGATAAGGTCCTACGGGTGTGGGTAATAGGGTCCTGTATGAAACAAAGCCCCTAATATTGGGACATCTGGTCACCCTATGCCAAAGTGATGTGAAGGAGCCAGTGTAACTCAGAATCAGACCCCAAATCTGCTTAGTTTACAGATCAAAAGAAGATTTTTCCAACCGCTTGCGCTTGCAAGTTCAGCCTAAAACATCATATTAAAAGCAAGCCGTGTTCTTTCAGGTCAGCACTTCATCACTAACAATCTAGATTCATTGCTGGCAAGTTACCTGAGATTGTGCAAGCAAAGAGGGTCAGAATCCAGCTTGTTGTTCCATAGCTAGATCAGCTCTGTAATGCTAACATTAGTAAAACTTGGTTATAGTAGCAACCTAAGAAGATCAGATTTAGGATGCACATTGGGTGAAATTCACTTCTCTACTTAAGCCCTATTCTGAGAACTTAAACGAGTGGTTCATAGGTCTGGAACTGGCCCTCTGCACTGGGGCAAATGTCACCCATACAAAGCAATGATGGCAGTGGCAGAGTGCCATTTTGTTCAGAATAACCTTGATGATCATAACCCAACTTAGAAACAAAATTCCAAGTAGCTCGGAGCAATGCATAACATCCAGCGACTCTGTACTTACAGCCAACTTACTCAGTCTTCAAGTCATTTGGGCTCAGATCCTCAAAGGTAATTAGGTGCTTAACTCCCATTGAAATCAATAGGATTTTTGCCATTTTTTTCACTGGGAGCAGGAGCAGTTCCTAAGTCACTCACAGACTTGCCTCAAAACACAACTCCTCTGTTAGGCTACTGATCAAGCCATTGGTCATTCCTGCCTGAATAAGAACTACTGCATCCATCTCTTAAATGCTAGCTACAAGTAATACATCTTTTCATATTTGATACTCTGCTTCTCTTTTTTATTTCTGTTTTGCTCAGTTTGCTTGTCCATGTTATCTACTGACTTTTCCCCCACCTCTGCACTCTATTTTTTTCCCTTCCACACGTGATAGTGTGGGTCTCTCTCCTTTTCAAGTCTACAGTCATTTTTCTTCTCTACAGATCTTCTCAGGGCCTAGTTCTGCTCTCAGTGGAGACAGTAGAAAAGCTCCCATTAATTTCATCGGGAAAATGATTGATCTCCAAGTTGCTATATTTTCCTTTTCTATTTTTTCTGCTTTTCTTTTACTTCTCTCACTTCTATTTTGATGGTCACATTTTCTATAATTGCTATAATTACGTTCTCTCTCTACTCAGCTTGTCTCCTCCTAATTCACTTGTTTCGCTGCTCTGCAATACCCCACTTGATTATTTCTTCTCTTCCAGTGTTTCTCTTACTACTCTTTTATCTCTACTTTCAGTTTCTCCACCATTTTGGGTTCCTTCTCTCTTTCCTTCAAATTCTTCCTCTCTTTCCTCCCTTTTTTCTGACCAGCTGATGTTTAGCATTTTCTCTGTGATCCACATAGTTTCCACAGCTGATCCTTAGTGCACTTTTTGCCTGACTTGCATGCACCTGAAAGTGATTGCCACTGAACTCAGGGCAAAAATCAGTATCTCAAATCGTGAGCATCAACCACTGGCTTTGCTATAGCTTCAACTTTCTAGGCCTCTCACTTTCAGATCTCAATATTAATGTGAGATCAGTTTTAAAAAAAATGTTAAAAAGAGCAGATTCCTGTGATGATGCAACTGGCCATAAATGGCCTACAATTTCCTCACAGGTATCCATTATCCATGTGTAAATAGTGTAGTGTGTTTTGGCTATGTCACTCAACCCTGCACTATCTGTAGATTTTCAGGACTCTTTTCCCCCCTCATCTTTAGGTGTTTGTGATGTGGACCATCAAAATAAAGCTGGATATACTGCAGTGATGATCACACCACTGGCATCAGCAGAAAGTGATGAAGACATGGAGGTGGTCTTAAAGCTGTTGAAAGAAGGGAACGTAAACATACGGGCAAGTCAGGTACATAACAATCATCAACAGTCCCTGTTTGTTTGTACAAGTGAACATAGACTTGAAAAGATAATGGAGCAAATAATTAAACAATCAATTTGCAAAGAGCTAGAAGATAAGAAGGTGATAAGTAAGAGTCAGCATGGATTTATCAAGAACAAATTGTGTCAAACCAACCTAATAGCTTTCTTTGACAGGGTAACAAGCCTTGTGGATAGGGGGGAACTGGTAGATATGGTGTATCTTGACTTTAGTAAGGCTTTTGATGCTGTCTTGCATGACCTTCTCATAAACAAACTAGGGAAATACAACCCAGACAGAGCTACTATACAGTGGGTGCATAACTGGCTGGAAAAAACCATTCCCAGAAAGTAGTTATCAGTGATTCACAGTCAAGCTGGAAGGACATATAGAGTGGGGTCCCGCAGGGATCAGTTCTAGGTCCAGTTCTGTTCAATGTCTTCATCAATGATTTAGATAATGGCATAGAATGCACTTATAAAGTTTGCGGATGGTACCAAGCTGGGAGGGGTTGCAAGTGCTTTGGAGGATAGGATTAACATTCAAAATGATCTGGACAAACAGGAGAAATGGTCTGAAGTAAATAGGATAAAATTCAATAAGGACAAATGCAAAATACTCCACTTAAGAAGGAACAATCAGCTGCACACTTACAAAATGGGAAATGACTGCCTAGGAAGGAGTACTGCGGAAAGGGATCTAGGGGTCATAGTGGATCACAATCTAAATATGAGTGAACAGTGTAACACCATTGCAAAAAAAGCAAACATCATTCTGGGAGGAGTATTAGCAATAGTGTTGTAAGCAAGCCACAAGACATAATTCTTTCGCTCTACTCTGCGCTGATCAGGCCTCAACTGGAGTATTGTGTCCAGTTCTGAGTGCCACATTTCAGGAAGGATGTGGACAAATTGGAGAGAGTCCAGAGAAGAGCAACAAAAATGATTAAAGGTCTAGAAAACATGACCTATGAGGGAAGATTGAAAAAATTGTTTGTTTAATCTGGAGACGAGATGACAGAAAGGAGACATGATAACAGTTTTCAAGTACATAAAAGGTTGTTACAAGGAGGCAGGAGAAAAATTGTTCTCCTGAACCTCTGAGGATAGGACAAGAAGCAATGGGATTAAGTTGCAGCAAGGGTTGGTTTAGGTTGGACACTAGGAAAAGCTTCCTGTCAGGGTGGTTAAGCACCGGAATAAATTGCCTAGGGAGGTTGTGGAATCTCCATCATCGGTTATTTTTAAGAGCAGGTTAGACAAACACCTGTCAGGGATGGTCTAGATAGTACTTAGTCCTACCATGAGTGCAGGGGACTGGACTAGATGATCTCTCGAGGTCCCTTCTTGTCCTACAATTCTATGATTCTAAGTTTTTATACAGAATATATCTGTGAACTGGATGATGCATGGAAACCATAGGGATAGGTTCCCTTCCAACCACAAACTACAGGATTCACTTGGCAAACCCATTCACAAGCCAAACCCTGCAGGGTTCATACCACCCTAATTATAATCAGACCTGTCCGATTCCTATTACTTACTCCCAGTGTGAGTTCAGATTGAATAAAGGAGTGAAAGATCTGGCTAAACAAGATGACTTTGAAATGTATTTATTGTGTAATTAATTAAGTCTCAGCGCATATGGGAGCTAGCCTTATAAAGATGCTGCATTGTAGAACCTTCTAGATGCTAATTCAGCCAGAGTAACTAAACATGTTTAATAATCCTCAGATAGAATTTATTTCCTTCATAATTATGTCCCCTTAAAGAGCCTTATAGGGAGAATAAATCAAGCATTACAACATGCTTACACCATCAACCCTTAATCAGGGGGCGGGGCTACTCAGGAAGACCAGGGCTTTAAAAAGCCCACACCTAAGCAACCAGAGGAGCTAGTGAACAGGGGAGTTTTGCGAGGGAGTTTACAGGGGGAGTGTGTGTGGGGGGGGCTACATACACTTAACATTCCTTAAACTTCTTTAAACTTAAAGCCCAAAACACCCCCTGATAAAAACAAAACAACAACAAAGGAACAAGCTTCAGGAATAAAAAGAGAATGCAGGCAGGAGAGGAGAGGAAGGAAGATGATGAAGGAGGAGAGGAAGGAAGATGATAAATACATGTAAGATCTGATGAGAAACAGTCAAAAGAAAAAAAGGCCCATTCAATTACCTCATGTAATGGCATAAAAAGCTAAAAAGTGACAAGTTTTTAAAGTGCTTATATACCAATGCTAGAAGTCTAAATAATAAGATGGGCGAACTAGAGTGCCTCGTATTAAATGAGGATATTGATATAATAGACATCACAGAAACTTGGTGGAATGGAGGATTATCCATGGAACACAGTAATACAAGGGTACAAAATATATTGGAAGGACAGAACAAGTCGTGCTGCTGGGGGAATGGCACTATATGTGAAAGAAATGAAGTAAAAATCTTAAATGAACCAAACTGTACCATAGAATCTCTATGGATAGTAATTCTATGCTTGAATAATAAGAATACAGTAGTAGGGATATATTACAGACCACCTGACCAGGATGGTGATAGTGACTGTGAAATACTCAGGGTGATTAGAGAGGCTATTAAAATAAAAAACTCAATAATAATAATGCGGGATTTCAGCTATCCCCATACTGACTGGGTACATATCACCTCAGGAAGGGATGCAGAGATAAAGTTTCTTGACACCTTAAATGACTGCTTCTTGGAGCAGCTAGTTCTGTAACCCACAAGAGGAGAGGCAATTCTTGATTTAGTCCTAAGTGGAGCACAGGATCAGATCCAAGAGGTGAATATAGCTGGAGCGCTTGGTAATAGTGACCATAATATTAAATTTAACATCCCCGTGGCGGGGAAAACACCACAGCGGCCCAACACTGTAGCATTTAATTTCTGAAAGGGGAACTACACAAAAACAAGGAGGTTAGTTAAACAGAAATTAAAAGGTACAGCACCAAAAGTAAAATCCTTGCAAACTGCATGGAAACTTTTTAAAGACACCATAATAGAGGCTCAACTTAAAAGTATACCCCAAATTAAAAAACATAGTAAGAGAACCAAAAAAGTGCCATCATGGCTAAACAACAATTTAAAAGAAGCAGTGAGAGGCAAAAAGGCATCCTTTAAAAAGTGGAAGTTAAATCCTAATGAGGAAAATAGAAAGGAGCATAAACTCCGGCAAATGAAGTGTAAAAATATCATTAGGAAGGCCAAAAAAGAATTTGAAGAACAGCTAGCCAAAGATTAAAAAAGTAATAGCAAAAAAATGTTTAAGTACATCAGAAGCAGGAAGCCTGCTAAACAATCAGTCGGGCCACTGATGATTGAGATGCTCAAGGAGCACTCAAAGAAGATAAGGCTATTGCGGAGAAACTAAATGAATTCTTTGCATCGGTCTTCACGGTTGAGGATGTGAGGGAGATTCCCAAACCCGAGCCATTCTTTTTAGGTGACAAATCTGAGGAACTGTCCCAAATTGAGGTGTCATTAGAGGAGGTTTTGGAACAAACTGATAAACTAAACAGTAATAAGTCACCAGGACCATATGGTATTCACCCAAGAGTTCTGAAGGAACTCAAATGTGAAATTGCAGGACTACTAACTGTCGTCTGTAACCTATCATTTAAATCAGCTTCTGTACCAAATGACCAGAGGATAGCTAATGTGACGCCAATTTTTAAAAAGGGCTCCAGAGGTGACCCTAGCGATTACAGGCCAGTAAGCCTGACTTCAGTACTGGGAAAACTGTTTGAAACTATAGTAAAGAACAAAATTCTCAGACACATAGATGAACATAATTTGTTGGGGAATAGTCAACATAGTTTTTGTAAAGGGAAATCATGCCTCACCAATCTACTAGAATTCTTTGAGGAGGTCAACAAGCATGTGGACAAGGGGGATCTGGTGGATATAGTGTATTTAGATTTTCAGAAAGCCTTTGACAAGGTCCCTCACCAAAGGCTCTTAAGCAAAGTAAGCAGTCATGGGATAAGAGGGAAAGTTCTCTCATGGATTGGTAACTGGTTAAAATATAGGAGACAAAGGGTAGAAATAAATGGTCAGTTTTCAGAATGGAGAGAGGTAAATAGTGGTTTCCCCCCAGGGGTCTGTTCTGGGCCCAGTCCTATTCAACATATTCATAAATGATCTGGAAAAAGGGGTAAACAGTGAGGTGGCAAAATTTGCAGATGATACAAAACTACTCAAGATAGTTAAGACTGCGAAGAGCTACAAAAGGATCTCTCAAAACTGGGTGACTGGGCAACAAAATGGCAAATGAAATTAAATGTTGAAAAATGTAAATTAATGCACATTGGAAAACATAATCCCAACTATACATCTAAAATGATGGGATCTAAATTAGCTGTTACCACTCAAGAAAGATATCTTGGAGTCATTGTGGATAGTTCTCTGAAAACATCCACTCGGTGTGCAGCGGCAGTTAAAAAAGCGAACAGAATGTAGGGAATCATTAAGAAAGGGATGGATAATAAGACAGAAAATATCATATTGCCTCTATATAAATCCATGGTACACCCACATCTTGAATACTGTGTGCAGATGTAGTCACCCCATCTCAAAAAAGATACATTTGACTTGGAAAAGGTTCAGAAAAGGGCAACAAAAATTATTAGGGGTATGGAACGGCTGCGGTCTGAGGAGAGTTTAATAAGACTGGGACTTTTCAGCTTGGAAAAGAGACAACTAAGGGGAGATATGATAGAGGTCTATAAAATCATGACTGGGGTGGAGAAAGTAAATAAGGAAGTATTATTCACTCCTTCTCATAACAGAAGAACTAGGGGCCACTAAATGAAATTAATAGGCAGCACGTTTAAAACAAACAAAAGGAAGTATTTTTTCACACAACGCATAGTCAACTTGTGGAATTCCTTGCCAGAGGATGTTGTGAAGGCCAAGACTATAACAGGGTTCAAAAAAGAACTGGATAAATTCATGGAGGATAGGTCAATCAATGGCTATTAGCCAGGATGGGCAGGGATGATATCCCTAGCCTTTGTTTGCCAGAAGCTGGGAACTAGCGACACGGGATGGATCACTTGATGATTACCTGTTCTGTTCATTCCCTCTAGAGCACCTGGCATTGGCCACTGTTGGAAGACAGGATACTGGGCTAGACGGACCTTTGGTCTGACCCAGTATGGCTGTTCTTATGTTCATGAAATTGAGAAGCAAGATTATGTGTGTTAGTGTCCGTATTGTATTGAAGTTGCCAGTTTAGAAAGTTAAAGCAGCATATTCAGCCAAACTGTGCAGTCCACTGTGACGAATTAAACCTTCTGGACTTTGCCTGTTCCAATGCTGCTTCTCAATCCATGCTTTTATGTACAAGTATCAATCAATTAATCAGTTGCTAATTAAAGTACTTGAAGGAAAACTCAGAAGGCTTGATCCTTCACTATACTGAGCATCCGCCACATGCAGCTAAGTGCCCTCAGCTGCCATTGGGTGGGAGTTGGGATGCAGAACTTTGCAGATGCAAACATTCACTTTTTCTGACTCCCAACTGCTTGCTAAACAATGGTTAAAATCTGAAATAAGAGTCTCAGAAATGAAGGTGAATTAAATTAACCTAAAAAAACCCAGAATGTGAACCACTATGGGGAGGCGCAATTGTTCAGGGGTGAACTATCAGGACACCACAGAATAATTATTTTTGAAACAATATCACTACACATGATTATTTAGTCATGGTTGTGTAAACTTTTCTGGGCCTGATTCTGGTTTACACGAAGGTTCCTTGACACAACTCTGGCATTTGTGTTCTTTTTGCTCTGGCAGTGTAAAGGCAGTGTTCGTGTGGTTATAAGTGTAATTCTAAGGACCTTCATGTAAAGGGCAACCAGGCCCTTCTCACTTTAGGTTTCACTAGTTTACTTTGCTGTTACAAACAGCGATAGCTTTATATTTACACTGACAATAAAAACAAAAGAAATGGCCAGTTTGGCCAGGGCCAGATTTCAAGGGGCTTTTGACACACTACAGCGCTCAAGTCATGGTGAGAGCTCCCATTGTAATTTGCTTCCAAATTTCATACCTCAGACAAAATGATACCGAGCTGGCTAGTGTAAACGTGTATCGCCTCTGACTACAGGACAGAACTGGACCTGCATATCATAAGCCCTATGCAGCTACTAGCTAATGGATAATCTCCTATAGCTCCAATGAGAGGGCCTTTGCTTTTGGAGCACGCAGATCAGATGTGAGTTTTAGCCTTACTGTCGCAGTGAAGTTCTGAGGAGCCATGACATGTAGAACAGTCAACCCTGAAGTTATAAATGGCCACAGATTTGTTACAGCATCTGCTGTAGGGCTACCTGTGTTCCAAGCAAGACTGCTATGCTATTTGAATGCTTAGATTGTGTAAATAAAGTTACATTTCTTTGATGGGTATGTCATTGTGTTTGGTCTGTCTTGCAATATTCCTAGGGAGGCCAGACTGCCTTAATATTAGGTGTCAGCCATGACAGGGGAGATATGGTGAAAGCCTTGTTGTCTTGCAAGGCTGACATAAACCAGCAGGATGATAATGGAACATCAGCACTGATGGTTGCCTGTCAGCATGGCAATGCTGAGATTGCGAAGCTTCTTCTGGCTCACCCTGGTTGTAACACTACATTAACGGACAAGGTAAGGGAAACAGGTGGTTGTAAAAAAAATAGACATATTCAGACAGTCACTGCCAGGAGCCAATTAGTGAATATTTAAAGAAACCATATGGCTTTCTTGCCTTAGAACTGGAGCAGACACTAGACACCTCCTGGAAACCAAAGTATCTCCCTTATCAAACATGTTAGTGAGTGGGCTTTGGCTCTGTGCCTTGCCTGTCTCACAAATAAAGGGGACTGGATCAGTTTAAGCATTTGGAGGATGAGTAACCCGCGTTTTAACTCAATTTTCAATTCCAAGCCAAGCTGCACAATTGCATACTTAGAAGTGCAATGAAACCTGTCCTACCAGACAAGCTACTGCCTTCATAGACTACCTCCGAAGTATCCCCAAATGTACTAACTACAGTTGTACTCCAGCATCTGTAGGAGGTCATTTCCATTAAGCAAAAAAACCTTTTTTCACTTTGTTGAGCATTCGCTTAAGACAGGGGTCACTGTACAATACAGTGAACATGTACATTCAACACTACTGAACTACAGCAGCATCCTGTGCTGTAGTTTTGGTAGATGAAAGAGCGTGAGAGAGAGAGAGAATGATTCCAGCATAGGCCTTTATCTCTTTAAAATACCATAATAAGTAACACCTGGGTTGCGCGCATGCAACATGGAGCTCAAGATGTTTCCTATTTTGTACATGTTCAGTACGCCTGGATACAGCCCTTTGCATTCGTCACTGTGGGTTACAGACAACAAGCGGGTTACAAATGATAATACATGCCCCATTGGCATATACCAGATAATTAGAAGTGTAAAAACATCTTGAAAATAATGAGGAAGATTCACTCTGGCTTAGAGCTTTATTCCAGCATTATGATGCACTGCTCAAACCACAGAAAAATATTATGTTAATAGACCACAGCTTCATTATAACCATATAGTTTTATGTAAAAACTTGGCACATAATCAAATGTTGTCCAATTCTCCACTTGACAGGGCCATTGAAAGAACTGCACCTATCAGAATCAACTAACTGAGTGTACCCACCATTTAACTACCGGGGGTCACAACTGAAAAATTCATTTCCTTCCTCAGAATGCTGACGTGCCATTTGTAACAGCCAATGAGGGAGCTTTCCTTTTATAAGGTTCCAGTCCCCGCACACCCCCAGTCTCCTCAGTGACTTCAAATCCCTCATCAGGTGATCCATTGCTTGGTTACAAACTCACCTAGCTGAACTGGTTCCTCAGGCAGCAGCTAGGTCATTGTCTTGGGGTGCATGTATTTGAATGGGAGACCATCTAAGTAAATGACCCTGGATTGTTAACCTTCTGCTAGCTGCAAGAATTTCTCATGACACCTCCCTGGAAGTCTTAGCAGAAGATGGAGGGTAAAAGGCAAAAGTGTAGCCAATCAAAATGGCACTCACAAAACAAAATGAAGTTTGTAATCTGATATAGGAACATACAGTTGGGTGACCAGATAACAAGTGTGAAAAATTGGGACAGGGGTGGGGGGTAATAGGTGCCTATATAAGAAAAAGCTCCAAAAATCGGGACATCTGGTCACCCTAACATACAGACATACACTAGTCCCTCACAATCTTCCATGACGTACCACAGCCAGGGAGTCCCATGTTGCACCACTTCTCTCCACGCAGGTAGACTGTTATTTATCATGGGAGGTGTAGTCCATCCAAGGAGCCCAGCCAACAGAGAAGAATTGGAGCTTGAATCACCTGAACTACAACTCCCATAAGGCATGAGAGCAGTATTTTCAAATAAAAATATTTCAGTTCTCAGCCAGAATATTTTGGTGTTCAAATTTCTGCCCAAAATGAACACTTCCCATTAAAAACTCTCTACTTTTTTTTGATCAGCTCTAATATTTAGGCATTGTGGCCTGATTCTTTGTGGCCCCGAGTACTCTCAATTCCTATTGATGTCAATGGGTGGGTGTTGAGTACCTCTGAATGATCTTCTCAGCTCCAGCGGAAAGAACCACTGCATTATGAACATGTCAAAAAATCACAATGGGGAAATATTTATGCACAGCACACCTACAGACACTAAGGGGTACATTTTTAATAGAGAATAGGTCACACCTTGCTTTTTTAGAGGTGAAATATTCAGCTGAGATTTTGAACCAACACAATGCATTGCTGCTGCAGAGTGGCTGCAGTTCTAACTACCTGATGTGCACCTGCAGCCAAGTTAGAGGTACAAATACACAGATTACTCTTATGGGTGCAAAAATATGGGTACAAATTTTGTAGGTGCAAGTTGCACCCATAAACAGGAAGCCAACCTTGTTGAAATTTTTGCCAAGATGTATTTAAACCTGTTAATAATATATAGGGTGAAACCCTGGCTCAACTGAAGTCAATGGGAGTTTTTCCATTAATCCCTTAAATAGGCTAGCACGTAGCATGCCATTTAGTACGAATGTCCAGACAGCAGTCACCAAGACAGGAAGTGATTTGAAAAATACATCAGGGCCCAGTTCTGCCCTTTGGATACACTGATTTAAATGACTGAGAGTTGCACCAATGCATCTGAAAGGCAGAAGTGAGCTCTTAGGATCTTGACAAGAGAGAGCCTTGCAACGAAAGCCCTATCAGCAATATATATCAAATTGTCCAAGTCCTCCCTTTTCACCCTTCATAAATTGGATAGTTCATCTGGCTGGAAAGGAAACTACTGCCTTGGCAAAGATCACATTAGCACATTTAAAAATCTCATTTCAGCCTTGGGAGTATAGTCTTCAGTAGCAGCACAATATGTGAATCACTATCTTATTTAGTTAAGGAAGATTTGAAAACCCCATTGAGTGAATAACTGGCAGTTAATTCCTGGGCAGAAATTGTTATTTACAGCTTGTGTACATCATAATCTCACCTGGACATCTGGCAATGTGAAAACCACTGAAACAACAGTAGAGGAAATTTTCGTAGAAAAAAGAAGACCATTTGAGGCAATAACTTAGCTTCCTCCATGCCTGTGGAATCGAGAAGATTACAGATTTGTATCTGCTTCTTTCCCTCTGTTTAACGCAATTAATTAGAAAGCAGATTGTGCTGGTGAGGGATAAAGATGTGCTGCACTATAATGTTACTTGAAGGTTTTAATCTGAAAGGTGACTGTTGATGCGAAACTAGTCACCTGCTGAAGACCCCAAATCAATCCAAATCCATCACAAAGCTGCTTTTTTGTACCAGGTGCCTTGCTATCATATTTCTCATGTGAAACACCAAAGAAGCATTGCTTATACATTTACAGCTTTCGGTACTGTGACAAGGACTGAACAATGTTATTTACATAAAGACAATTAAATGTTTAATAGCCAGACCAGTTGCAAGCTGGCAGCACACCACGCTGCCAACTAACTGATGAAGTTTCTGAGGAATTATATACAGTGGCTGTAAGTGTGGAATTTCTCAGTAGTTGTATGCATTGGTTTTGTTCGTGTGTAAGGAGGTGGATCATGCACTGTCTCTTCAACAACCACTGTTGATTATCCAGGATGAATTTCACAGCCTTCAGAGAGAGAGAGCAGCATTGTTTCAAGATGATGCCAGAGGAGGATGAAAGAGCAGACAAGAACGTACGGGCAGGGCTAGCTATCGGAGATTAGTACAGTAGACTGTATTCAATCTGTGTCTGCACAGTCAGTGGCAATAGGTAGTTTACACATATACACTCAAATGGAGACAAATACAAGCACACTCTAAATAAACAGCAATTTTTTTTATTTTGGACATTATTTAATGGGAAATAGTCATTGCTGACAGCACCCAAAACTGAGCAAGATACTACCATGATGAATTAATTAGAAACAGACTAACTAGACCTAGCAAGATGGCAAAAATTGTCTTATGCTGATAAATCAAGTTGACCAACTTCAGGACGGAGAGCTCAGTGTCATGACTATAAGCTGAACACCAAATATAATGTCTTTTGTTTAATATAAACATACACAAGTGGAGATTGTTATAATCTCTCTCCACAACTCATCTTAATTTTGGGTAGTCAGCTACTGAGATAAAGCAGGTTTCAGAGTGGTAGCCATCTTAGTCTGTATCAGCAAAAACAAAAACAATGAGGAGTACTAGTGGCACCTTAGAGACTAAAAAATTTATTTAGGCATAAGCTTTCATGGGCTAAAACCCACTTCATCAGATGCATGGAGTGTAGGAAGATATATATAACAGTACATGAGAAGATGAGAGTTGCCTTACCAAGTGGGGGGATGTCGAGACAATTCAATTAAAGTGGGCTATTATCAACAGAACGAAAAATCACTTTTGTAGTGGTAATCAGGGTGGCTCATTTCAAACAGTTGACAAGATGGTGTAAGTAACAGTAGGCAGAAAATTTTTAGTTCTTATAGTGACTCATCCACTTCCAGTCTTTATTCAGGCCTAATTTGACGATGTCCAGTTTGCAAATTAATTCCAGTTCTGCAGTTTCTCGGAGTCTGTTTTTGAATGTTTGTTGTTGAAGAATTGCCACTTTTAAGTCTGTTATTGAGTGTCCAGGGAGGTTGAAGTGTTCTCCGACTGGTTTTTGAACGTTATAATTCTTGACATCCGATTTGTGTCTATTTATTCTTTTGCGGAGAGACTGTCTGGTTTGGCCAATGTACATAGCAGCTGCTCTGGTAACTAAGATTGGCAGCCTGCTAAATACTGTGATCAGAGACTATGTTCAGATTCACATACATCTCCTTACAGTCGATGCTTTTCTCAGGAAAACAGACAAAAGGGGGAAACATCTGGCATTTGAATACTATTTTCTCCTTCCTCGGAAGCATCAGGAATGACCACGTCTGGAGATGGGACATTGGGCAGGGAGGGCCAGGGCTCTGAGGTGGCTCCGAGCATTCTCTCTCTCTCAGGTGGTTGGCTGGCTGGTTCTTGCTCACATGCTCAGGGCCTAACTGTTCGCCATAAATGGGGTCAGGAAGGAATTTTCCCCAGGTCAGATTGGCAGTCACCATGGTTTTATTTTTTGCCTTCTTTTGCTACATGTGGGTGTGGGTCGCTTGCCAGGATTATTTGAGTATATCTCATTGAATCATTTCTCTGTCATTGCTGGGGCCTTGAGCACTTGTCCTCTTCAGTCCCTCCTACTCTCTGCCTGTGGCACATAATAGGCTGGTATCCTGTGGGCTGTAATGCTTTGGTCTCATTTTAGTTGTTGGGTTTAGTGTGTGGGTCCTGGGTGGTGTTGGTGGCCTGTGATATATAGGAGGCCAAACTAGATGATTTAGTGATCCTTCTGGCCTTGGACTATATGACTCTATGAAGGATTAGGCCATTTTGACGTTATGGGCAATTTTGTCACTGTAATGCATGCAACCCCTTTTCCCATTAGTAGAACTGGCACATGCAATTCTCCACATTCAACACTGACATTAACCCTTAGCTGTCCAGTAAGATTTTTATTTGAAAGATTTGCATAGTAAATTCATTTTCTTTTTTTCCCATGTAGAGTGGTAATTCTGCTCTGTCTGTCGCTCTGAAATCTGCCCACATGGAAATTGCAGAGCTCCTCCAAGCCCACATAGAGCAGAGCCGGTCTTTGGCTAAATAAAGGAAATGGAAAATAGCATTTGTCGGAATGGGCAATGGATAACAAAAGGTTCATTCTTTTAACAACTCTGCTTCCAATTTAGATGGAAATGATTGTAGCTGATACTGCTGATTTCTATACTTATTGAGGGAGTGAACTATGTCAACTATTTGCATACATTCCTAATATATAATTCCCCTCATTAAGCCTGCTTTTATAGTTCTAACCCATGCATAGTGCCATAAATGACTCAAATACTGTTTCAGAGAGTTAGATTATTGTATTGCCTTTTATTAACACACTTGATCTTGATCTTAAAACTGAATTCCACTATCTACCCCTCACAGTATAATTTTGTCACGTTGGTGAACAAAAAACAAATGCACATTAGAAAAGCAATACTTACTTTTTTTGTAATTTTAGATAATGGTGTTCTTTTTAATCAACTATTTAAAATGTGTCTCATTTAACTTGCAAGTTTACATCTTACTGTTTATTATTACACCTTCTGTATGTACTAGCAGGCAATGCTTACTCAATATATATAGCAGTAAATACAAGTCAGGTGGATTATATAAAAATATCAAATCCTATTTATGTGTGGTTATGTGCTCAGAAGCAAGAATTAAAATTAATTCTCTAGGAAAATATTTGAGTGTGCCAGATCCAAACACACAGACATTGTTTTTCTTGTATTCAGAATTACCATATGGCTCTCATTTTTTCTAATTAAATTTGACTTAAGCAGGAACCGTGGCCCACTGGCATATACAATATATCATTTATAGGATGCTGAGGTACAATTGTGAAGTATCAGGTTATCCAAACACAGTACAGGAGACAAATTACTTGATCATTGCATAAACCTTCTCTGCAAGGATGGGTTAATACTGTCTGAAAGGTTGCATATTTAAATTCATAGAACCACTTCCGATGATAATAGGTTCCACCCAGAAAGTGCCCTTTGGCCAAACATCTGTTCTTCAGTTTCCAGCATGCTAAACTTTTGGAACCCCCCAAACTGGGCAGATTTAAATCTGTGTAGTAATTTAGCTGCCAGATTTTTCCTGTGTAGTCTGAGTGACCTGCTCAAGGAGAGCTAGGGCTTCTCCTTGAAGTATACAGCCCTTTGGGCCCTGGTGGGAATCCAGCACTGTCTGCAGTGCATATATAAGGCAGATCTTTCCTACATTCCAGTGGTCCAAGCACAGCAATTACAGATCATCTGCCTTCCTCTTTCAAAGCAGGTACGGTATGTCTCAGAGGTCCTTCCTCTGTGAAAGTCACAGCCAAAGGGTGCCATCCTGCAGGGTACCGAGAACATCCTGTGAGATACTGAGCATTTTCAACTCCCACTGAATTCAGCATCTCGCAAGAATTACTCAGCACCTAGCAGAATGGGGTCATAAATCCCTATCCCTGCAAACATCTTTCCATTCTCATTAAGACAAAAAATTAACAAGCCTTGTTGTTACATTTCTTCCATTGGAAGAGTCTTTCCATTGACTTCAATGGGCCTGGAATCCGACCCTGATTGTACACAGCCATTCAAATTGTGTGCAGCATGAAGTCAGTGAGACTGGATCCAGTAGCACTTACTACAAATAAAATGTATTGTTTTTCTAACGTCCTCGTTTTTATTTCTAAACAAAACCTAATCCTGGTTTATCTTTTTTGGTTTATGTGTAAGTCACATTATAGCATATTATTAAATCTCATTTGAGTCACCCCATCCCCTTCCCTTGCATTTGCAATGCATATCAAAATCATTTCCAAGACTGATAGCGTGATCCCATTGTCCTCATTCGAACAAAACTCTCAATGGCTTAGGTGGGAGTTTTGTTGAAGTAAGGAAAAGAGGATCCTGTCCTTTGTTCTTTGTCATTATTCAGATGTTTTCACATTGAAATCTACTGTATAATTCTTGTTATTTCTTTCATGGTTCTTAATCAAAAGCAATCTGTATGGTCATCATCCCATACATTTGTCTCTCATTTTACTGTATCCCAAAATGAATTTATCTCCTCTATGTGTGAATAAAAGTCAGATTTTAATTTACCTGCATTTGTTCTTATACCTATTTTCCTTCTCCATTTCTGGGACAGAAAATTAGATCACACATTTTACTAGTGAACTAGTTCTCTTGATAGTAAATGGGGGTGCAGTTATGGTGAAATCACCCATTGCCTCACCACACATTGCAGTCAATGGAAAAATTCTTCTTGACTCCAGTGGGAGTTGAATCAGACCCATGTTTACTAAAGTACAAGGGGGCCTTTTGTGAACCCTTTGTATTTACGTGAGTTTTAGTCTTAATTAGATAGGGAAACTGAATGATATAGGTTACAGAATACAAGGAAAAACCTCTAAGTCTATTATCTCCCACACATTTTAATGGAATGACAGAGTCCCTTTTTAGAGGCAAGTAGGTCTCCAGTGGATATATGATGAGAAACTTATAAAATGATTAAACAATGCCAGGATTACTAACACAAATCCTGGAATTTGAGAGGTAATCAATACACTACACCAACTCTTCAAGTTTTAAACAAACACAAAATCAATTTAAAAAATAAGCTGAGTTGTCCAAATACCACTAGCAGTTATGCTCCATGAGGCAGACCCATAGAAGCCAAAGCAAAATGAAAGGAGGTTTTCAGAAGCGAAGGTTACAGGAGTATCCTTGACTTGCAATAGGAACTCACCAAAGACTGAGAAGAGTAATGAGAAAGGAACACAAAGGGCCACCAAACACAAACAAATAGGTAGCGGTATATTGTTCATTTATACAGCACTGTATGAAGTATACGAGTGCCTGGCAAGTTTATCTATCTGCCACAGTCAGGCTTTAGAAAGAAAGAGCAGATAGATAAAGAAGAAAAAGCTACTGCATATGTAAGTAGATTCAAACCCAAAGTTATAAATGAACAATGGTCCTGAACCTCCATCTGAATATCTCAGAACTCTGGGAAAGTTCAAATCTGGATTGAACCTCTAGCAAAAAACTACAGAAAGTGTCAGGCAGCCAAAATCTAACTAATGCTAATGTAAAAATATAAACTGGCCTATAAAATTTGGTAAATCATTTGTGTCAAACCAAGTACTTTAGTTCTTCAGAATTTGAATGGTTTAGTCAAAATTCTGGAATTAATTGGCTTTTGCCACTATATCACCACAATGCTCTCCTCGCTGGGATGAACTGAGGTACGAGTGTACCACTAAAAACAAAAGAATTCAGGGGGAAATCTGCCAAACTCCTTAACTCATGCTGCAGCACCTAGAGGTTTCAGTACATATGCTACATAAAATATGCATTGTTTTAGATATTTCTTCAAAACACAGGCAGTTAGAATTGTTACTGTTATACGTGTGCCATAGGTTGCCTACCCCTGCACTAAAGAGTCACCTCCCCGAAGGACCTAAATCTTAATTAATAACAAGAAACAAGCTTTTTATCTCCTCACTGTTGGAGCTTACTACTCAAAGGGACGGAGTAACCGCCAAGAGGTTTGCAGGCCTGGCTGATACCTGAAAGGGTACAAAGAACTGAATTATCTTTAACCTGAGATATTGCCATTAAGTATTACCCAGTATGGTTACCCAATAACTACATTGAATAAATTATTCTGTAACGGGAGAATAAAAGAAAGGAATTTAGCTAACAGTAGTAAAAATATACTATAATGCTTTATTGCTTTATTAAATTCATCCCAAGAGTATTGTCAGAAGACTCAACTTCATTGAAAGTAACGGAGTTGTGTCATGTACAAATTCAGCCTATAATTCTTTTGTTTTTAGTGGTACACTTGTACCTCAGTTCATCCCAGCGAGGAAAGCACTGTGGTGACAGCATCAAAACACAAACAATTGCGATTTATGTATTTTAGTGTTTGTGGTTAGGGTTTGTTTCTTTTTCATATTTTTTCCACTGCCCATATAAGGCAGAGTTAAGGTTGTTTGCATGCCCTACCTGTGCATTTCCACACCTTCACCTGTTGGAATTTATTTTAAAATGTAACTTTAACTAATTCTGTACTTCCTCAGTTTACAAAGTTTGCTTCTGGGATAAACATCATGTATTCTCCCTGAATAATAGGTTGTACTTTCAACCTTAACTCCATTTTAATATATTTTTTTGTCTGGGAATTTCCTTATTAAAATTTTTTTTTAAATGTCATAGATTTAACACTGAACAAAAAAACCCCAAAGCGAATGTTGCTGTGTGATATTTCTAATGTTTTGAAGATAGGCAGTATCAGCCTAAAATATTTTAACTTTTAGGGCCAAATTCACCAGTACATTCTGGCTTACTTTACCCTGTTGGGGAGCAGTGCATAGCAACCAGAGCCTACAGGTTAATTAAGCATGGTTTACAGTTACTTTCCATACCCAGAACAGCACAGAATGTATTGGGTGTGGGGGAGAGGTGAGGAGAGAGGGAGAAATTGTGGGTGGGTGGCGGGCAGAACAGTCTTTGGGGAAGGAGGCTGTTTTAGGGAAACTGGCACTAAATGATGGAAATCAGGGAGTGGGGGGAGATGAGAATCTGGTCTCTCTCATGCCACTGACCCATTACAACTGTTTCTTCCTTGGCTGAGCGGTAGCCAGAATTCAGGGCCCTGCAGGTCAGTTTCCCAGTTGGAGCAGCAATTGGTGACCCAGTCAAGTATTTTCTTAGAGTAATTTGTTTATTTACAAAATGGCACCCGTCCTCTCTCCCTGAACAGCAGCAAGAACAAGCTGCACACAGGCAACCTCCTTTTGCAGGAATCCCAGATAAGGAACCACTCTCCTGTCCAAAGAAGGAGATATTCTTAGCCTCACAGCCAAGCAGACTGCTTCCTTCCACAGATCACCCCAAACTTGAACTGACTACTCAGCATGCAGTCTGGTTCCAGCAACGGAATTTGAAACCTAGGAAAAGCCTGTTAGCTCCAAAATGCCTCTCAGATTGCATGTGGTGTCTCCACACTTGGCCCCAGGAGTCAGCCCCACTTCTTTATGTGACTTGCTTTGCACTGCAAAAGGGCCTAGAGTGCTCCTATTGGTGGGCACAAAGGAAAGTGCTTTAGTATATGGCCGTTCACCTGAGTGGGTTCTGTGATTGGCGTTGCATCCAGGATCCCTAATTGTGGGCCACCTCGTTCATAACAACAAATGAAGAATTATACGAGAGCTGGTTCCTTTCATTTCAAATTTCTGCCACAAATGGGAATAAACTTTTGTGACCATTAAAAAAAAAAAATGTTTCCTGCTTTTTGACCAGCTGCAGAGTTGATTTAAATGTTTTTAAATTAGAAATTTCAATGAAGAAAACAGAAACATTCAAATGCTGACAAAAGAAAAAAAGTTCCTCCTTTCCTCAATACACACAGACACTCTCTCTCACACATGCACACACAGAGCAAGAGAAAGGGCAGTCACAAATGCAAACCTTCTCCTTTTTGATGCCCCCCCCATGGGGCAAAATATATAATAATCTCAGCGCACACTAAACTCCAAAGCAAGGCTTGCAAAATGGCATCAGAATGGGAATATGACAATAACCATTGCTTTTTAAATGAGGTTGAAATGTTTGCGAGCTGTAATAAGATTTTAAAGGCCTTCCTGTAGACACCACCAATGTCTGGGGTTTTTTCCAGCAAAATGTAGGGTCACTTTGACAAAGATATGACGCCCTTTGTGAGAAGAATTGTTCCATATGTTCCCGGGAAGTTGAATCTTCTCTCAGTACAATCCCAGGACAGGTCTTATCAATAGTGATGTGAGCTACATGTCCATAACCACGAAAAAGAATCTTATGGGATATTTCAACTCTTACACGTCTCTCTTTTTTCTCCACTCTCCATCTCTTCTCCCACCACCTCTCTTCCACATCTCTGTCCCCTTTCCTCCATCTTTCTGTGTGGAAGCTTTCCTCATACTTCTCTCACACTCCCCATTCCACTCTATTTCTCCCTCGCTTAGGCTTTTAGACTGCCTGCCCCTCACCAGAGTATCTGGACACCTCTCTCTGCCTCTCATTTAGCTTGCCAGACCTTTCAGGGTGCAGCAGTGGCTGTGGATTGACTACATGGCCAGGGAGAAGTAATTTGTTCCCCTTTATCCTGAAACAACCCCAGCCACCTAAACCTCCCTTGTACTCGGGAGTTGGTATTTCATACCTTGGAGACTGGTTTGAACTGAGCATTTCTTTCATTACTGTTCTGCAACAGG